GCCAGTCACATCCTGGCGAGGGGCCCTGTATCCCCAACCCTCACTGGCACCCCCTACTGGGCCTGTATCAGTGCTCTCCCCCACCGCATCAGTTATCTGTCTAGCTGGGGAAGGGATCGTTCATCTCCGGCTGTGGTTTCTGAGCCCGGCAACATCAGGCTGTGGCTCCTTTGAAGTCCGAGCTGCAGCTGAATACAGACAGTCCAGCCAGCAGCAGCAAGGCGAGATCCCACCCCCACTCCACAGCCAGCCCCTGGGGAAACCAAGGCTTGGAGGAGTTATGAACCAGGAAGAGCTCAGGCATCCAGACTCCCAGTTCCTGCTGCTCTAATACTTCAGCCTCCACTGTTCTCCCAGAGCTGGAGAGAACCCAGGTGTCCGGGCTCCCAGGAATTCCCACCCCCATGGGCTTTGAAGGGGAAAGTGACTGCTGGGATGTCCAATGGAGAGGACAGAGGTGCTGGGAACTGAGAGGGGACAGCAAGGCTGACCTGCAGCTGTTGCTTCGATTAACAGCATGCATACGCACTAGATCTCATGCATATGCAATAGGCTGCATGGAACATGCTCTATGCTGCATTGAATAGAATATGCATTGGATCTCACGTATATGCAATAGGCTTTCAAATGCATATGCAATAGGCTTTCAGATTTGCATGCGTGTACAGGAGGTTGGAGGCAGGCGTGCATCGCTTTATGCATATGCAGTAGGTTGTGTGCCAGTGTCATTTGCTTCATGCATATGCATGAAGCTGTGTGGAGATATGCAGATGTGATCTCTCCATTTGCACAATAGTGCATGGGATGTACTGTGTGTGTGTGTGTGTGTGTGTGTGTGTGTGTATTGCAGCGGGCAGCAGGGAATACAGCTCCTGCATATGCAGTATGCAGATGCCATAGACTGCTTGTATATGCAATAAGCATTATGCAAATACAGGTCCAGCTTGCAGATCTAATAGATGCATGGGATACAAAGGTCCCTGCCTAGAGCTAGCACGTGTGTATTGCAATGTGACAAGCAAGTATTCTAGGAGAAAGATGCATATGTGAATATTCTAGAGAAGATTTGGATGCAGTATGTTACCTATACGAGGGGCCTGGATAATTATGCTTATTATTGCTATACATATATTTATGTATGTAGCACATGCTTGCTCTCTGTGTACTTATATATGCACATACTTCTGTAATATGTGTAGATATAGATTATAGATGCATAGATATTGATTGATAGATGTAGATGTGCAGATTACATATAGATTAGGTAGAAAGATTAGATAAAGATAGACATTGTTATATAGATTAGCTATAGCTCTGTATGCAGATATGTTTATCTAAATCCATCTATACATATTCAGATTAGTATAAATTTATGTAGCTGGATTAGAAAGACACATGTATAGAGATTCGATATAGATCTATATCCATCTACATAGCTGTCTGTCTATGTAGATAAATTAGATGTATAGATAGATATATAGATAGTCTATATATATATATTATAGCTATATACATCTATATAGAAAGTGATATATAGCTAGATTATATACATATATATAGATAGACTCAATATAGATCTACAGATATATCTAGATAGACTTAGATATGTGGATATATATAGATGGATTCAATATACATTTATAGATAGCTAGATAGATATACCTATGTAGAAATAGATCTAAGTATAGATATATAGATAGATTATACAGCTGTATCTAGATAGGCATAGCTAAATAGATGCATATAGATCATTATATAGATAGATATATATATATATCTATATAGATATATAGATATCTATATAGATATATAGATATCTATATAGATATGTTAGATAGGTATGTCATCCGCAGCGGCAATCCCTCATGGTTAAGGATGATCACTCCCATGAGTCAAATAAAGGATTGTAAATGCATCCGTTGATGGCTAAGAAGGCTAATCCTAGGGCCGCAGACTCTCTGGCAAATGTCACAGGTGGTAGTGATAGATAGATAGATAGATATAGGTCTACAAAGATACATAGATAGATTATAGAAATATGTATAGATAGATTCAATATAGATCTATAGATATATCTAGATAGACATAGCTATGTGGATAGACATAGATCTATATAGATAGAGGTAGACTAGATATCTAGCTATAGATGCTTTTAAATAGATATAGGTAAATATATAGATATTGATAGATTATATATACATGAAGAGAGATTGGATATAGCTATATATGTCTGGATATAGCTATAGCTATATATAGACATAACTGTGTACCTAGGTATAGATCTGTATAGATATGGTTTATACACATGCACACAACTATGCTTGCATCTGTTGCTGCACTGTGTATTTAAATGCATCACATGAATAGGCAGATGCGGCACCTGCGAACGGGGCCTCTCCCCCTCCAGTTCTGCCTGTCCCAGTCTCCGCAAGTGGGCCAGCGCGCTAGCTGGATAGCTCCTTGAATGCAAATGGACCACATGCATAGTGTATCAGCTGCCTCCATATATGGCATTGCATTGCCATATAGAAGTGTACCAGGGGAACTAGATGGGGTCTCTGCAGTACCTGGTGCCCCCTGAGGGGTCTGTACAACACTTGATCCCAGCCTGATGGGTCTGTACAGTGCCCAATTACCCCCAATTCCAGCCTGGGGGAGTGTGTACAGCTCCCAGCGCCTCCTGACCTCATCCTGGGGGGTCTGTACAGCACCCTTGTACCCCCTGATCCCAGCCTGGGGGGGTCTGTACAACTCCGAGTGCCTCCTGACTTCGACCTGGGGTGTCTGTACAGCACCTGGTGTTCCCCGATCCCAGCCTGGGGGGTCTGTATGGTGTCCAGTGCCCCCCAATCCCAGCCTGGGGGGTATGTACAGCTCCCAACGCCTCCTGACCTCAGCCTGGTGGGTCTGTGCAGCACCCAGTGCCCCCCAATCCCAGCCTAGGGGGTCTGTGCAGCATCTGGTCCTCCCAGGCCCAGCCTGGGGGATCTGTACAGTGCCCAGCACCCACCAGTCTCAGCCTGGGGGTAGGGACCTGGAGGCAGCAGTGAAGGGGGCTCTATGAGACACTGAGTGTGGGGGGGGGGCTGTGGGGCTGTGAGAGAGCAAGAGGAAGGTGTGGGGGGAGGTTCTGGTGCTCCTGCTAACCCTGCCCCTTCTAGCCCCACCCCCTACTAACCCCACCCGTCTCCCCACAGTGTGGACCTGGTCCATGCCCAGATCCGTGTGGCCGAGGGGCGGAGCCTGCCTGACTTGGGCCTGCGCCAGGAGCTAATTCGCGTCAATGGCTGCGCCATCCAGTGCCGCGTCACCACCGAGGACCCTGCCCGCGGCTTCCAGCCTGACACCGGCCGTATTGAGGTAGGGGGGTCTGGTGCCCGGTCCTACGGAGCCTGCCTAGCCCTCCCTCCGCCCAGGTGATGGGCCATATGGACACTGGAAGGGCCTCTTTGGCTGCAGTGGACCATATAGACCCTGTAGGGCCCCCCAGCTGCAACTGTCCATAGAAAACCTGTAGACCCCCCCCCATGGGGCACTGGGCTATATAGACCCTCAAGGGCAACTGAGTTGTAAAGACCCTGTAGGGTCCCCCTCCAGGCACTGGGCTATATAGACCCTTTAGGGTCCCCCTATGAGGTATGGAGCCATATAGAGCCTTTAGCACCCCCCACTGATCCCATATAGATCCCCCCATGAGGTCATTGGCTGTATAGTCCCTGTAGGCCAAACCATGGAGTACTGGGCTTTATAGACTCTGTAGGGTACCTCTTGCTGCAGTGGTCCATAGAAAACCTGTAGGACTCCCCCATGGGTAACTGGGCTGTATAGACCCTGTAGGCCCCCCTGCCATGGGGTTCTGGGCCATACGGAGCCTGAACTCCTGGGTTCTTCTCTTGCTATTTACAGGTAAGGGACTCCAGGAGGGTCTGTGCAGTCTGGCATGATGGGCCCTGATCCTGGCCAGACCTGGGCAGTGCCCACCAATTAGGATCCCTGTGCTCTCTAATGGGGAGCAAAGGGGGATTCTGGGGGGAGTGGTTGTCTCCCCTCCTTGCCCCCCCTAAAATCTGCTGTTAGGAGAGGAGATGCCCAGGGGTCCATGAAATGAGCTGATGAGGGACCAGAGAGACCCCAGATGTCCGGGCTCCCCGCCCCGCCTGCTCTCACGCCTGCACCCCGACACCCCTCCCAGAGCTGGAGAGAACTCAGGCGTCTGGGCTCCCAGGAAGCAGTGTGATTCTGGGTGCATGTGCATGGGCAGTCACTGACTGTGGGTACCTCAGTGTGTCTCCGTCTGTGTGTGTGTGCGCGTGTGCGCGCACGTGCATGTGCGGACACCTGGGTTCTTTGTGTGTGCATGTGTGTGTCCCAGACACCTGGGTTCGGAGTGTGTGTGTTTAGACATCTGTGTGTGTATATGTGTGTTCACACACACCTGGATGCCTAACTCTGTGTGTGTCTGTGTCTATGTCTATGTCCCGGACACCTGGGTTTGGTGTGTCTGTGTGCATGTCTAGACCTCTGGGTTCTGTGTGTGTGTGTCCTGGACACCTGGGTCGTGTGTGTGTGTGTGTGTGTGTGTGTGTGTCTGGGACAC